TTGATTCAAGATTTCTTTCAGATGATCTACCTGAGATTCACTAACCCGTTACTTTTTCTTACTCCCTCTAGAAACAAGACGAATAGGCTTCGTCAGTTCCTTACTTTGCTTCCACGAGCACCTTAGTGGTTAAGTCTCCGATTTTACCTCGGCCAAATTACTATATAAGATTTTATATGGCATTCCCATACCCAGTGCGGGACCAGAAAGGCTCAGTGGTTAATTTTTTGTAAACTCCAAAACACGGGTGACCTGTCTGCCAGTGTTTTCTCTCAACCGTAGTAACTTTCTATTCAGTTTGAGTGCAATTCATGTTCATTTCTCAGGGATTTCGTGGTTGAAGGAATTTTTATTTCTCATCCTCGTCAGACTGTTAGATTTACCACGGGAACCGTCTACCCGTTGACGGTTCCAGCCCAATCCGCGACACAGCCCACATGCGGTACTCTTGGCATTAGTTCACGTGGAAAATCCTACTGGTACACGACTCCAAACATCACTTGTAATCGGCATGACGAATCATCGGTCTATTCATACGCAGTGTATCATCGCTTTGGAAAGGTGCTCATCTGAAAAACTTTAAGCATAATTTCCCCGAATAAATTTGAAAAAAGGTCAGTATGGTTGTGTAAGATGTCTACAGCAGCGAAATAAATGTCGTTGCCGCAGAAATCTTGCTTTATATTACTGGCCTTTTTCACATCTGAACAATGACTCAAATATCTGCTGTGAGATGATCAGTAACTGCTACACTCACGATGAAAATATTTTGAAAAGTAATGCTTAAAAGCAGTTAATTTTTGATCTACATTCTTTGGCTGAAGGAATCAGTCATTTACTTAGTAACGTGTCTCCAACATTGTACCAAAATTGTTTGAGAAAAAATTGAATAATAAATAAAACATATTGTTGCATCTTCGACATAAAAATCGGGATCCACCGGAATGCTTTTAATCACTTAGTTTCCGATCGTGGTCTGAACTTCCTGCCTCATTCAGTACAAACTTTGATAATTCACACCCTTCGTAGAAGCTTCCTAATTAAAATAAGTTATCATTCCTAATTATTGTAAAAACGCTTTTCATTTCAGGACTCTTCTGAGAAGCCCTTATAACGACCGTTGTATGAGTAGTTCCGTAACAGTCCGTCTCATGTTTAGCGAATTCAAAGCCAATTGGAGCAGACACCAAAAGTCTCTTTTTGCGCAGTCTTTTGATCGAGTGGTTGACTTGCCCTGGTATCCATTCCAGATTTCGGGATGTTTTCAACCCACTAAGCATGTCGATGACAGTTGGCAGTTGTGCATATACTGGATCAATATTGTTGGCATAGCCAAATGCTTTCATTTCTGCGATAGCGTCATTAATCACAAAGGTGAGGTTTTGCGAACTAAGCAAATTTGTATCCTAATCATTCGCCCTACTGTAACGTGTCCCGTTTGAACTCGTGTGAGAAACTTCTTCATAAAAGAAGAGAATTTATGTGTTTACTTGATGAAAACTGCGTCGGAAACACAGACCCTGGCATGCAGAAAATTCAATACGATTTTAGCTCACGATCTACAAGCGTGCACTTCTCATGTGCTGAGAAACATCAGTGTTGCACCCATACACCTTTGTTCGATCATACTATCTTATTGAAAATATTTTTACTCGCTCTATCACCAACCCTTCTGAAATGATTTGTTGTTCACACGTGAAGAAGTAAAAAGCCTGAAAAAAATAAGAAAAGTATAGGAGGCGTGCGGGTTTCATACTCACATTCATCTTCGTCCTCTTGATTACCACATCTAATGCAGACTGATTACACAATATTCGCGTATATTTCAGTTTGGCCCGCCACATGCGCGTTAATCACACAAAAAGTAAGTGATAGGTCATTTTCAATGTTTCTTCTTTTACGGTATGCGCATGTGTCCTAGGTGCCAAAGCTAATAGTCAGATCACTAAGAAAACCGGTAAAAGACACTTTTATTTAATGAAGGCATAGTTCGAACACGAAAAGTAGTTCTTCCGCGCTTCGCACCTTACAGTCAGATTAAATATTATTTGGTAAATTTGCAATCCCAAATCTAATACAATGAAACAGAGAATCAGGAAGTACTGTTGCGCGTTTAATTAGCGTATAACGTTTAACTCTATTTTAACTCATGTGAACCAAATCGCATGAGCAGTTTATATTTGCCAGATAAGTGTCACATGGGGAGATACAACTACAGAGTGCTCCTGAAAATCCGAAAATTCTTTATCATTCATTATCATCATCTGTCCCTATTGATTCGTCTGCTAGTAGTTGAACTAGTTCAGGAAAACTACGGTTTGTTCAGATTATTATTATACGCTGCGATCATTACTTATCGTTATTAGTTTGTTAGTTAGGGTTATGCTACTGGAGAAACACAAGCCAGGTTTCATATGTACTTTTCCTCCCTATCTCCTTATTCAACTATTTAGAGTTACATTCTGATTCCTTGTTGATTTCATAAATACGAAAAGCATTTCACCGCAGATACCCCATCCTACCTGCGGAAAATATTTATATGTGATTGAGAAATACACATTGCATTTTTATCACGTATGGCGGAAACGGTATTAAGATTTCAAGTTCCACGTGGTGAAGTATCACCCGGTGAAAGGGAAAAAATGGTGAAAAACTGAAAACGCGACATATATATATATATATGGCCTACTTGTATGTCGATAAGGTAAACACTGGTTTTGAGCTCTCGCAAGGAGGAAAAGGACTGGAGGCTGTTTTGACGATCAAGCTTGATGGTAACAATGAGCTACCTTTTGCACATGAAAACAAAGAACATTATAAGTAAACCTGCTGGGATTGACCTTCCGGGATGATAGACACACAATGGGCAATCGCAAACATGGATAGGGAGTAACTTGTGAATAAAATTGTTCCAGAAAAAATCAACGTAGGATATGAAACTGAAACAACTTACATACTGCAATCTGGAAGGAGTATTTTTAAATGGATTTCCATTTAAGGAACGCTTTAAACAATAAAAATTAATACATTTTACTAAAAAAACAGGAAAATATTTTATTTGATCATACGACGAACGTCGCTAGAGTTTGCATTTCATCTGTGAAGTCTAGGATTCGATCCTCATTTGAGTTGGTATACCCGCACCGTTGATGGGAACCTAGGCTGGTTAAAAATGCAGTCCAGTGCTTTCCAACTTTTCAATTCATGCGGTGGTAAGAGTCGAAAATGACCGAAAGAAATCACCATATTCGAGCCATAAATAGATGAATGCATACTCTCGATGGGCTCTACGAAGAGTGACACTGACGTCTAGTGCTACGTGGATTTTTGATTCAGTGAATCAAATAAAGATTGTTTGTGGAAACGAAGTCTGAAATACAGTCAGTGCAAATTAATACCAGTTGTCCTACACTACTACTTACAAGGATTTGTGAAGTAAATTAAACCTTTCAAATATCTCAAGTGGTATTTGCATTTGATGCATCAATCGCCGTTCTTGAGATATCATCACAATAACACTGTTCGACTAACATACGGTTTGCCATCAGATCCGTTAGGCTCTCTCTGCAGGACTCATTATTCATACATCATAAAACGTCCTCCGAAAAATCTGAGGCAGTGCTTGAATGTAGCACAGTATGGTTTAGACATGTGACGAAAGATAAAACTCAGTCTGGAAAAGGGGTTATTTATTGTTGCTTTCCGCAGTATAGTCATTTCGAAGACACAATATGTATTTTATCAAATCACAATATAACATGTGCACAGTTATGGCTTGTCCCAGTAATTCAGATGTTCTACAGTCTATATGATACGCTCTAGTTTGAGCGTTTCGGGGTCCAAATTGGTTTGTTATGACCCTGAAATGAAATAACAATAGTAAGGGTGTATTTATTCTTTCTGCGTTCATTTTGACTTTGAGCCAATTTCAAATGGTTAATTCCAACTCAATATTTGTGGTTCGTTGAAGGAACTTCTTATCAGGTTATTCAACTGATTCATTTATCCACAGAAATAAAAATGATTGACGAAATCCATTCTTTCCGGGATCACGTGAAACGTTTTCTGCCATCTTTGTTCAGTTCCAGCGCGAACGACTCTCTTACTCTCTTGCCTAACCGCGAACCGATCTAGTCACATGCGTGTGTGTATATAGTGATCCAACACTTCAATGAATTGCTCACTATTTAATCGTAAATTGAGATGGCCTTAGTCACATGACACACAATCAAGAGCAATAGAACACTAAGTGAATAAGACAACCATCCGTAAGGTGGATAAAGGACATTGGCTTCATAAGGGGAGTGAATGTTCTCGACCTTATGTCAAATATGTTAAGCACCCAAATCCAAACCATCTGGCTAAAAAGTGGAAAGCAAAATCTAAAAGGTTCCAAAGGAGGAGTGGTTGTCATCTTGTGCCCTTCACCTGCATTCTTTCTAACAGTGTTTGTCAGTGTCGCACATACACAAGCACCAACACCCACACTAATGTGCTTAACTCGAGTAAGTAGGTGGATTAGACTAATGAAAATGCTCAGAAGCTATGATGTTAGTATGCTTAAACAGAGTTCGTTATGATGCAACACAGGAGAAGAAGCGGGCTGATGGGGGAAACACAAAATCAATTAAACTGAAACCGGAGTGATACCGTAGCGATCGAAGATTGTTTCATAGTGAACCAGACATCCCACGGTGTTACTCAAGATTTTAAATCTTCGTTTACTTTAACGGGTGTGTTGTTTGAGTACATTTATACATGTCTGTTTTTCATGTACGCGTACTCGTATGTAAACCAGTTCTGCACATATGCATCAAAAGAAACACACACACAAGCACGCTCTCTTTTGTTTATGTGTCCTTTCGACTTTATAATTTCAAGCTATTTAAACCTGAGTTAGAATTTAGCACCTTCACTTTGCCTGTAAAAACCAGCAGTGTCGGCAATCGAAAACCGACGTGCGCATTTCCATCTGATCCCGTTGCACATCTTCACCAAAAATGGCCACTGAAGTACGAAAACCGAGACAGAAAATGATTTTCACCAAAGGTCGAGAGGAAGTCACCGTGCTCAGCGTAGTGGAACAGTTGATTTCTTTGTTCTTGGAAATTGACAGCAACGATGACGGCTCCGTATCCCGAGAAGAATTGACGGCCTACTACACCAAACATGGTCTGGACAAATCTAGGGTCGATGTGAGTTCCAATTTCGTAAATGTAGGCTGTGAATGTATTCGGTGAACTACCGGATGTAGAAACACATGCTCCAATCCACTTAAGGATTGATTCTTGACTAATCGACAGCATAGTACAGTTAAATGCAAAAATGCGATTGCACTGGTAGTCATTATTTGCTAACGGTATTTCTATTTTTAACCCATCAACCTCGGAATCACCTGGAAAATCATGCACTGTTAGGAATGGATGAACCGTTTTGACACGGACGCGGATGGGCGTATCACAATGCAAGAGTTCAGCAAAGGATTGGGACTGGATATTGAGGAGCTGTGAGTATAAATCCGTAACTGTGCTCAATATTACTTGTTAAACAAATATTTATCATTCATCAGTAGCGTTTTGTCACCCACCTAATTGTTTGGACGACATGCTGTGTTTTAATTAAGTATTTTGCTGCTAATTTTCTACCAATAAAATTGAACACCTTCGAAGTTTGATATTCGTTAGCACGATACCAAATAAAATTTTTTCTTTTGTTTCAACACACATTCCTTATTCGTGATAGGGATAGTCACTTACCAGACAAAGGAACACATTCTGGCAACCATCGAGTTGGAATTATTCGTTTAACTCTACATTCCACAGTTTTCCTCACAAGTGCTATATTGTTATTTTTAATAATAAAATATGGATGTACGTTTTGCAGGTTGTGATGTATCTCCCAATATATCATGCGTTTTTGGAACCTTGGTCACCGAAAACATGGGAATGTTCATAGAATTTTACAAAGCGTTTACATTTAATAAACCATGCCTCAAGTATCTCATATTTAATTCAAATTTGTTTACCTTACACCAACACAGATAGTTATCTAAGCATCTGAAGGTACAAAATAGTAGAAACTAAATCACTAATAAATGACCTAAAACAGTTGCTTTAAGTTTGTTTGAATACCTAGTTGAACTCGTAAACAAAATGATTCAAGTTTCATGAGAGAAACCTTGCTAATGACATGCTTCATGCACTCCAGAAAGAAAGATTTCGTTGCGTATGAGTTGAACAAAATTTATTCTTCGCGTTTCAGGAAGCTGGAAAAACGTCAGCGGGCCCAACAACGTTCAAGCAATAAAACTGGAATCAATGTTGAGGGTATTGAAGTGTTGAATACAACCATGGCAGTGGAGAAACAAGAAGAAGTGGTCACAAAATTCAAAGATCTCATGCGCTCAATCGGAGAAAATGAGAACCGTATGGCCGAGGTGAACGATAAACTGAAAGATTTCTTGGATCAAAAGTACGGTCGCATTTGGCAATGTGTCACCCTAACCGGATCGTACTGGAGTAAATTCTGTCACGAACCTTTCATGTCCATTCAATTCAAATACCAAGACAAATACATTGTCCTGGCCTGGCGCACGCATCGTTTGTGAATATCGGGAAGAGGGGACTGCCACACAGACCAGCGTACACGACAGCGAGGACAGTTACAATTTGCCTGCCACAATCAAGATGCTCGTCCACGCACTTTTGCAACACTACAGCGGTCTGAATTGCTCTCATACATAAACAATCCTTGTCCATGTGCTTGTCGTTCTTCGTGCTGTTTCTATGCCTGTTATGCATGTCAATGTGAAATTCGTTTGTAGAAATATTTTCATGATTACAAGTTCTTTGTCGTGGCTCATGAAGCAAATCAATCCAACAATAATAAAAATGCTCACACCACCTGAGCGAAATAAATCCATCGTATGATGTGATTTCGGCTTATTGTTTCCGTTAAAGAGATGCAACTCACATTCGGTTTGAAATCAAGTTTTCCTAGTAATACTTAATTCAGATCGGATAATGAAAAAAACATATAAGTGAATCAGAGAAATGATCGAGTTTTAGTTTCCTCTGAAAAGCAGACGTCCTGATGAGTATGACTAAGTGATAAAGAGAAGAATTTCTATTTTGCCAAGCATTTTGGAGGAAAAAGCAATAGATTTTAGTCCATTATGATACGGACTATACCGGAATCATATGCTGTATCCTTGGTCCACGAGTTATTTTTCCGTCGCTCAAATAAAGTACAGTGGTCGCATTGTACCTCCCGTGTAACAGATCCAATGAATAGTAACTTCTTGAAGATGCGATTTTGACCATCATGGTTCTGACCTAGTGATGGGACTAATTGTATTGGTTCAGCTTGGGCCTAGATTTATATACTTCTTTATCCAATGACATTGAAAATGNATGACTAGAGTAACAGGTTTATTTAATTTATTGCTCTAATGGGTCATTTGTTACAAACTCTTTAAAACCTAAAACAGTGATTTGAGAACTCAATTTCACAACTACTCCAGTCTGCTTGGGTGGTTGATATCTAGATCACCATTACGCTAAACCTCCATTCAAACGCCCTTCACGATATGTGCTTGAATGCGACTAGCGCTTTCTGGGAGCACGTCTGGTTTGAGGAACAGCTTATCATGAGCCAAATTGGGCTCCCTCGGTTTGGTTCTCAAATTTGAACCTTGGCTCTAATCGAATAGTCAAGGCTAGGAATTCAGTTTCAATTAATGGTCAATTCCACGTCATACAGACCCACATGAACAAAAACACCCCAACGCATTAGCTGTTCGGTTTCAAACTTGATGCCGCTCATCAACAAAGCGCATTTCGCCAGGGATCAGAGCCCGACAGCTCACAGGAGGAATGCAAGGGTTTTTCTTCTTCTTATGCATGATATGACAGAACCCGTTATTGCAAACTTGTCACTCATTTTTCTCGGTCACAAATAGGTTGCAAATATTTAAAACGTAGCTGCCAGTCACAGATTAGTCGTAGAGAATATTATTATACAAAAAATGAATATAACGTAAGGAGACAAACTAGGATACACTGTAAATCTCCTCTAAACTCGCTGCATCACCAAATACTTTCCGAATTCCTTCCTTTTCAATCGCGGAAAGCGTTAGTCAAGTTTTGGTAAGATGTTGGCGCAAGCCTCATACGATCTGTGTGTAACGGATGAGAAGGGCTGGTCATTATTTCTGCGAATACTGAGCGACACAGGTTTCGTATATTTTGAAATGATGAAGTGTGCAGATTTTACGGGATGGGTCGCTACTTCTATATATATGTGTTACGGAATTGGTGAGGGTCTTAGAGGCCTCTCTGTATATCCAAAGCAGGGTTACAAAGAACTCGTACTGCCACAGGATTAAAATCCAACCACTCGGGAGTAGGAAAAACTTTAAAGTATAATTATAATTTTCTAACCCTCTAAAGAACAGAGCGAAATAGCTCCGTTAGACTAACATCAGTTGCAGCTAATTAACTCGCCGAAAGTTGTAATATTTACGAGTTTTTTAACTGTATCATGTGATTAAGAGTTAGCTTTTATCCATTTCACCATTCAGCAAGTTCAAAAAGGCGGAAGTAACTGAAGCATCAGGATAAGTGATTTCGGACAAAACATCGTCTATATATTCAATAAGCAAAGGATCCTGGTTACTGGGAATAGAATAATTCTGAGTTTAGAATAACCACTAGGACAGCATGACACTTTGTATTGTGCCCGGTTTATGGATTATGGGAGCAGACATGAGTCCGAGGTATTGTATGAACTGTGAAAGATTTGTAAAATAGTGCTTACTTGACCTAGAATGCTTTTGTGATATCCCCACTGGATGATAAGATGTGTAACAATTGCAACCTTTCAAAGTCACTACAAGCCACGAATCAGATGCTGTTATTTTTCTTATTTCATTCGAGTATCAATAGAAGAGCATTGTGAGCCAAAGCAATGGAGCTTTCAGAGTGGATCACGAATGGCATCACGCAAGTTGGCTTAGTTCGTGCACATTTGGCAGAGATGACATTCCTTAAAGGAGGTAACTTCTCGAATAGATTCAACACAACAGACGCATATGCAATTTTGAGGCTTCTCTTTTAATCACTGGTATGACGTACACAGATCTCAAAGTTTTAGGTTACTCTTCGTTTTTCAAGGATTACAGCGCTTGTAAGACTACGTGAGCACACTAATTGAGCGTGGTAGCCTCCGGTCCATTATGACCGGGTGATTTATTAGGTTCAAGAAATAATAACTTCTCCAGAACATCCGCTTGTTAAATAATGAAGTGCTGAGATAGATGCTTTTGTTGTTGATGAACGGCTAATCTCCTTTAATAAATTTTCAATATAGTTCTTAAACATCCATGGTTCTGCGAAACTCGATTGAGAATTGATAACTTAGTTGCCGATATTGTTTCACATTTACCGAAACTTTTGTTTTGCACACATGCGCGAGTGTATGTTTCATTCAATTTATTTAGCTTGGCTTTCGTAGCAAGTGATACGAAATGTGCCCTGCCAAGATCTCTGCGTTTCTTTACCTTTTCCTTTATTCGTTTTGACAGCCTAAAATGAGGAGACCAGATGTTATCACAGGGATTATATAATAGCTACCATAAGCAGCCTATGCCATAAGGAACGTTTAAATATTGTGTTAGACAGTTACAAAAGATAGCATGATTACGGTGGTTGAACTCACTGCAGTTTCTCTCATGGAGCTCAACACTGAGCTTATCTAGGTTCTCCTCGTTACGTTGACGGTAACGCCAGACAACGAGCTCTTTGTGGTATTTTCTTTTTATTACCAACAGCACTTTACTCTACATTGCTTAAATCTGAACGAATTCCGCTGTTCACCTACCTTCCTCGTAGTGATGTTTCGAGACTTCCATTCAGCGTTAGTTGCTCAGCACTTTGTGATTAAGGTGTATCACAAGCATGAATGCTTATTGTCCAAAAATAAGCATACGCTTTCTCAGGGCCAATAGCTCACTAGAAAGAACTCGTTTGAAAATTGACAAAAGGTCTAGGTTTGAGATGATGAACTAGGAATGATTGAAGTCCTTGATCCGGACACTATTGGCGGCTTCTGACGACTTCTAACGAAAGCAAACTAATAAAAATCAGATGAACAACAAGGTTTCGCCTAATGAAAGGAGATCAGACATTAGGTTGCAGAAAGGGGGTTTCAATTTAAGGCGCCTTAGATCCAGGTAGGTCGGCTTTATGAATTTCAACAAACAATTGTGCAATATTTTCATGCCTTAGCTATTCTTTAGGTTTTTTCACACTCATTAGCGTTATGTGATAATTGTCAATAGATGCTGTCGGTAATAACATAATAATGTATTGTAATTTTTTTCAGTTCTAATTAACACTTTTGTACGGTGTAAAGCCTTTACTTCGGTCCAAAATGTCAACTAAAAAACCGGGTAGTTCAAACAGTTAATCCACAATACTTGTTCAGAACTAATCGATTTCAGATCCAATGGTAAAGAAGAACGTGATTAGGTAACTGGACTTTCGAATAATTTGGAGGGATAAAGGAATGATAAAAAAATAGCGGCAAATTGTTTAACAATGCCAAAGTTGCCAGATAAATTTGAAATATCAGACAAATCGGAGATTTTCGGACGTCTAACCACATCGTCAGCGTATCTGAAGACAGAAGTAGGAGCGGTGGCAGATAAATTGGTAACAGATAAGAAAATTTTATGCTGAAAATACTACGCTGTGGAGTTTCCCAGATTTCGCCACCAAAGGTTTTGGACTTCTTCTGCATTGAGTTCTCCCAGTAACCGAAGTTCTGCAGTTTACAAGGATGGAGGGAATGAGAAATATAATCAAATGAATTTTTTTAGCCCAGGAAGACACAAAATACGGATTTCATGGAGTCATTCAAAGACTTCGAAATTGTTATGTGCAAGTGAGAAAACTGCATCCAACGTTCACCTGTTAAGTTTGTAGGCAAAAGCTGATGAGGATCAAGAAAACACTGATGTTTGTAAAAACAATTGTTGATTTGGCAAGTTTTTTAATGGGAACAAATGTTATCGGTCTCCAACAATTTGGAAGGCAGGAAGCGTTTAAAAATGATATTAATATTTCATTAAGAGAATGGGCTCCGTATCTCAAAATTGAATATAAAAGGCTATCGGGAGCAATACGGACACGTTCTTATTTTGAACCGGTATCTATTTGAACGGCGTCATTCGGAACGACTGGCGTGTTGTGACTTCCCAATTCAGTATAGTATAAACAATATGAGAACGACTGAGTTTCCTGTCTACTACTTACAAATGATCTTCAATGCCATATGTTTGTCGATTTCGCTTGTATCCACTATGTCATCGGAAAAATGGAAGTGGCATACTGGCATATAGTTGCCCCCAGAGCATCACGTTTGAAATGCAGTCTTCGCAATCATATCACATAAAGCATAAACCAACTCGTTTAACGTTCAGATCGGCAACTTCAATGGTTGACTAATATGTTAACTGAAACTAGCACCACGTCACTTGATCCATCGTTTAGGTTGTATACGACGAATAAACTACCCGCAATAGCTGTTGGAGTTGGTTTCCTCTGC